ACAGACAGACAGACAGACAGACAGAGAGACAGAGAGACAGAGACAGAGAGAGGGTCATTTTTTTTTTTCCGAGACAGGGCTTCTCTGTAGTGTTTTGGAGCCTGTCCTGGAACTTGCTCTGTAGACCAGGCTTGGTCTCGAACTCACAGAGATCCACCTGCCTCTGCCTCCTGAGTGCTGGGATTAAAGGTGTGCACCACCACCCGGCAAGGGTCATATTTGAAACCTAAAAGTCTACCTCCATGGACACACCTCCAATAAGGCCACACTTCGTAATCTACTAAGCATTCCAATGGCCTAAGGGAGCCATTGTTATTCATTCAAATGACCACACCTATCATGTGTCCTCTCAAAGCAAGCAAAGCCAAGCCTGCACCCTTCACAGCTCCAAACCCACTCCTCACTCTAACTTGTCCATTTTGTTGCCCCAACAGCGGTGCTGGAACTGTGCCAATAAAATATCCATCGGTAGCATCTGGACAATGAAGCAAACGGAACCTGACAGGGGGGGTCTTGGTCTCTTCCGATCTGCCATGAGACAGTATGTGGAGAGGGGACACCAGGCTGTCGCCTGTGCGAAGGTGATCTCTGCCGCCTGCACAGGTACCCTGACAAGTCCTTAGCACAGTACCAGGCACTGAACAGTGCTCAGCAAGCAGCCATTGACTAAATGAGGGAATCGACAAGGAGTCAGTGGACATACCGCATCCGAGCACTCCAGGTATCACTTAGCAGTGGGGCTCGGCGGGAGTGTGGACAGTCAACGAACCTCACCAATTAACTTGTAAAGCGTGCCTCGAAGGTCCCCAAACTAGACAGACCACACAATTACAGGCAGAGGACCAGCAGTCACTCAGATCTGATTGGTGGCCTCACCAGCTGCCTTGAACTCAAGAGCATGTCTAAGGAGATCTGAGCTGGGAGACACAGGGCTGTGGTCCAGCATGTTGCTCACAGCAGGTCTCAGGGAGGCTCGTGCCACTGTCCAAACTGCCTTCAGTTGAAACCACAGCTGCTACATTTGGGTCCAAAACCGAGATTAAAAAAAAGTGCTGATCCTTATGTCCTTGGTAAGCCAACTCGTGTCCCTATTAGAAGCGTCCAGATGATCGACTGGGGAGTCCCCAGACGGCCTGTGAGCATGGTCACACTGCTGCAGGTGAGTTCAGTGTTGGGTTGTACTAGCCTGTACCCAGCTCTTCTGTTTCCATTCATAGTCAAGGAAATATTCAACAAACAGCCTTACTGTACCTGCTTGGGGGCGGGGAGTAGGACACGCTCTTGAGAGCTGGGACTGACCCAGAGATGCAACCAGAAAAGCCCCTTTGATGGACTGTATGCTGCGCTACCAATGAGAGCTAGCCGCAGACGGTGACGGCACTGATGACAGGAGACGATTATGCGTGTGCTCGCGTGATCGAGTGCATTTGTGCATGCCTGAGGAAGTCCGAAGACGACCTCAGGGGATTCCCTTGAGACCGGGTCTCTTATTGGCCCCGAGCTTACCGATTCAGTTAGGTCGACTGGCCAGTAAACCCCAGGGACATTTCTGCCTCTGCTTCCTCAGTCCTAGGACTGTAAGCACCACTGCCCCTGGTGTGGTGGTGTGAAAGAAAATGGCCCCCATAGGGAGTGGCACTATCAGGAGGCGTGGCTTTGTTGGAGCAGGTGTGGTCTTGTTGGAGGAAGTGTGTCACTGTGGGGGTGGGCTTCCAGGTTGCCTATGCTAAAGTTATGCCCAGTATCTCAGTTCACTTCCCGTTGCCTGCAGATCAAGATGAGGAACCCCTGGCTCCTCCTCCATCTCCGTGTCATGCCGTCATGATGATAATGGACTAAACCTCTGAAAGTGTAAGCCACCACATTGAATGTCTTTCTGAAACTGCAAACTAGCCCCAGTTAAATGTTTTCCTTTACGAGAGTTGCCATGGTTGATAGAAATCCTAAGTAAGATACCTGGCGTTTTGTGTGGGTTCTGGGATTGCACTCACATCCTCAAGCCTGTAGGGCAAGCACTTTAATGAGTGATTTACCTCCCTGAGTCTGTAATGGTGCCTTAAATCTACAAAGTCCTTTGTTCTAATTACACACAAGGGCAGCTGGAGGATGGGAAAACAGCCACTGGAACCCATGTGCCGAGGGTCTTTGGGATGCCGAGAAGGATGGAAGACCACAATCTGTGCCGAGTCTTTTTCCTTTACAGTGTCATGTTTCCCAAGAGTGGTCCAGGAAGAAGGTGGTTCCCCCACATCTTCAAATGAGCACCAGCTGCCAGTTCTTTTAGCTTCCTCACTGTGGGTGGAAGGTTAACTTGGTGCCTCACACTGCTGTCGCCATGATTTCTCTGACACAACAAACTCCATTACCTGGTGCACGAGCCAGAGGAGAGTCTTTCTTCCTTGAGTCACTTTGGTGAGGTATTTTGTTGTGGAAATAAGGAAAGTAGCTAATAGAGTAGTATTTAATATAGGTTGGAATGTTTGCTATGGACATCAGCCACTTGGTACCTTCACCACAACTGATTCCAGAATTTGCATTTTAAACATAACTAACCAACCCATAGTATTGGCTGCATGTGTACTAAAATTATAGTTTGGTATTTATGACTTCTAAGAAAACATCTTTTATGGACAGGCATGGTGGTGTATGCTTTTAATCCTAGCACTTGGCAGGCAGAGGCAGGTGGATCTCTGTGAATTTGAGGCCAGCCTGGTATATATAATGAGTTCTAGGCCAGCCAGGGATACAAAGTGAGACTCTGTCCTAAACAAACCCAAACTACTGCCTTTTATGTTTTATTAAAAAAATCAATTGAAAAACCTCACACTAAGTTCATATCAGCAATGGTCACTTGTTAACGTCAGAAATAAAACTCTACTCAAAATGAGGGTTTTCTGGAAGAACGTCTTTGCGGTAACCTGTTTTTGTGGGACTTCAGTGGGATCCAGCCGACTTGCCCGGTTCATACCTGAGAAGGGAGTGTGGATTGAGAAATGCAGGTAAAGAAGCTAAGAAAAAGGCAGAGAAACAGGATAGAGTCAGGAGGGCAATCCCAGATGCCTCAAGTTTATTCTTCCTAATTCTTAAGTACCCCAACCAAAAGGGGGACATGGCAAAAGACTTCTTTATCATGGAACAAACAGACTTTCTTCCCTTAATCCTCCAAACATTTGGTAACCATACCATAGACTCAATTTCCAGTTATCCAGCCTATCCAGAGTAACAACACCTCAGACCAAGTCTGTTGTTATTTAGATGAGGCATCCACTACCAAGATCAAGCATCCTACAGTAGCCACATCTTAGATCTTTAGGTCTTACGACTTTAACCTTGGAAGAGTAAGAACAGTTTTGAACTCTCTGACCTTGGGTCAAGATGAAGCAGAGCCGTCTTTATGGGCCCCAACAAATCTTAGCAAGAGTCATATAAGCCCTAAGTCAAAGAAATCAGAAATAATTTCTTGTTAAAAAGAAATACTTTTATTACGTTTATTTATCTCTGTGCATATGTTGTGCATATGCAGTTACAAGTGTGTAAGCATGTGAGCTCAGGTGCCCATGGAAGTCAGAAGAGGGTGTCATAATCCCGGAGCTAGAGTTACAGGGGCTGTTGAGCCTCCCATTGTGGGTCCTGGGAACTGAACTCTGGTCTTCTGCAAGAGCAACAAGTTCTCTTGATCACAGGGGTCATCTCTTTCTCTCTAGCCCCAGAAACATTTTCAAAAGGATGTTACATGAAACTTGACTATAGGTATGCCATGCTACTGGTGAGAAAGAGTATGTTTCAGTGTTGTCAATTATCTCTAAATGGGCTTAGAGAAACTCCAATAAAAATCTCCACGGGACACTCCAGGAGCCTGACAGAATGACTCTAATCTTCATTAGAGAGGCTGAAGTAAGGAGGGTCACCAGGGACTCTCTGAAATGGCAAAATGAAGGTCCTGACCCATTGGGTATGACACCATGGGATGTTGTCACAGCTTTGAAAACACTCTGATTCAAGGTTAAGAAAAAAATGGGAGGAGAGAAATGGGCAGCTTTCAGGCCAACCTTGGCATGGTGGCACTTGATTTGAGTCCGTAGGGAAGGGAGGGCTCAGTGGATGAAATAACGGAGAACAGCTCAGAGCCTGCGGGAAAGGGCGTTCAGGATTACCCCAGGCAGTATGTCAGAACCAACCCTGATCAACCAGAGAGAAATCACTACAAGCCCGTTGGTCTGTATGACTCACGTGGATATACAGAACGAATACATATTCAGACACACGGGGAAGGATGAAGAGAAAACACTAAAAGGAAAAGAGGACGTTCCCGTTCTTTTAATTTTATTAAAACCCACACCAGCCACCAAAAAAGTCTACTGATTTTTTTAAAGAGAAAAACTCTTTGATCAGACAGTTGACTGGAAAGGAGCCCATCACAGATGTGTGAATCAGTGCCCCCACTAAAGGAGCCACTAAACGCAAATGAAGAGAGCCTACTATCTCAGTAGCAGATACTACTACTGAGATCAACCCACGCCGCGTGCTCAGAGCTGCTACCCGTGACGTGACATAGCGATTTCCGTGGACTTCCACTCACAGCGCGGACTGCTGCAACCCTTCTGGAGGGTGGATAGCTGGGAAGTCTCAGGGGTCCTCGCTGGTCCTGGTGACTCCCATTGATGGAGCTTGCTGCAACTGGATGTTCAGAAAATCGAACGAAGATGCAGACCACAGAATCATCTGGAGTAGCGTAAAACGGAAAACGGATCCCTCTCCAGTGTCCAAAACGCTGTCCATTAGTTGGCGCACAAAGAGAGGAAGTGTTTGATGGGTTTCTGGAGGCTAAGAAGAAGGGTTTGAGGGTCAGGAAGGCTCGGGGAAAAGTGCTGACGGGGGGCTGGGGAGAGTCGTGCACTTGGCATGGTGACGTGGGGTTCACGGTGGCAGGACACAAGCCAAGCTCGGAGGGTTTTGTGAAGGGGTCTCGCCCCACTCAGAAGGATTTCGGGTGTGAGGACTCTGTCGGCCACCGTCGAACCCTTTCATGCTCCCGTTGGTGCGGACGGGATGTTTGCCGGGGAAGACAGAAGGACGGTCCTTCCAGGTGTCCAGTGTGTTGAGCTCCACGTGCTAGGACTGAGGTATTAACCGCAAGCTCTTGAAGACCCAACACAGCTTCGTAGATAGCTGGCGGAGCTTCTACGTTATGTAGAAAAGAACGGTTAGTTGGTTGTTGAATGGCTTTCCTTGGATGGTGCTTTCAAAGGGCTTCGTCTGCACTTCAGTCAGTAGGGGGCGCACTGATGCTGGGAATGCCAACAGTAACCAAGAGCAGCACTGGTCTTCCGGTCCCTCAACTCGGGTGGCTATCCATCTCCCCGCTCGGTAATCCCTGCTGTTTCCAGCTTTCAACACCAAGCACACCGTAAGTGATAAAACTCTCACCTTAATAAGAGTTAATATAAGCTTGCTATTCATGGTGTTGTGTTTTCGAGAGGTCGGTACCGGGTGGAGAACAACTTAAATTGTGCTTATCATTTTTTTTTCTCTTGACAAGTTTTCCTTCCATCATAACAAGTGAGAAAGTACTAGAAGAAAATGGAGGTGGATGTCCAACATTTCACTTGGACGCCGACCAACAGTAACGGTGACCTTCAGATAAAGGATATTTTATGGAGTGTTCACTAAAGAGAAGGACTTAGCTGTCAAAACTTTTTTTTTCAAATTTCCTCATGAAGTATAACTAATGAAACGCCATGGTTTATTGGATCCTAAGGAGTTGCATGGAGGTACCGAGGCGATAGTAAAATGAGGTGGGCTGGTAGTATTTTGGGCACAAAAAGGAATTTGGGTGGCATATTTAAAATTTGACACAGACAACAATACCGTAACAGAGGAAGGATCAAACGAGCTTTAGCCTCAAAACGTATGAAAAGAACAAGCACTTCAGAAGAGAAATGGAGAACTATAGAAGCAAAGAAAGCTCCCCCAAGGCGGGAGCGTTGTTGTGTTAGTCAGGGTGGAACACTCCGTTTGATAATGCACGCTCGTGTGACGATGATGATTGGTGAGCGCCAGGAAGCCCCTTTCAGCCCCTTCAAACTGCTGACAAGCTGGCTTAGAGCAGAAAAACGTAAGCTATGAAAATGGTTACTTGGGTGACTTGTATTCAATCGAAATTCTAAAAGCTTTATGTAAGGGGGGGGAGAATATAAGTCAAATGAAAATAATATCGGAACACCCGTTACAAAGCTGAAGTTTTCAAGCCTAATTTCTAAAATATATTTCAACAGTATGCAGAACATGGGAACATGTTTTTTTTAAAGTCACAAAGTAACCCCAAATTAGAAAATACAATAGATATACAGCTGTGATGATAAAAAAAAAAAGACGGCAGTAATTCAAGCGAGAGCACATGGAGGGAAAGAGGTCGACAGTCATACAAACACAGACACAGCACACTGAAGGGATAGCGGCTGAATCTATATGTACCCGAAATGTAGCGACAAAAGCCCACAAGGAAACGTTGTGAGAATTGCGATTAGAAACTGACAAGTTCAGCTGGAGGGGTGTTAAATGTTACCCGACGAGGCAGACAGAATTCTGAAGCCTATACATGAAGCAAGACTGATTTTCTTTAGAATTATCCAAGGAACAATGAACTGATTTTATCACTTGCTGCTTTTCATCTGACCAAAATTTTCTAATAAAAGCCTCGGCAGGGACTGGGGAGTTGGCTCAGTCGCAAGAGCACGGGCTGCTCTCCCAGAGAACCCAGGTCCAGTTCCCAGCACCAACACGGTGGCTCGCAATGGCCTGTAACTCCAGCTCCAGGGGTTTCTGTGTGCTCCTCTGGCCTTTGCAGGCTTCTGAACTCACATGGCACACATAAACTCACACCTGTGTACATGCACACACATACGTGAATATAAAACAAAAACTAATAAATCTTTAAAAGATACAGGCACATAGAACCAAATTACAAGTTACAATGCTGTTTAAAATAAGTCTCCTAAAAACCAGTTGGAATAACGGGGAAATCAAGAACCTGATAAAAGACATTTAGAAAATAACAAAAAACGGATACAACCAGGTGTATCCGAACCAAGCTTTACAGCAAAAGCCAACGAAAGCGCCTAATGTTTCCCTATTCAAAATGAAAAAGAGAAGGCTCATCCTGTGCTCAGTAAACATCAGAAAGAAGAAAAGAACACAGAAGAGAAGCAAAAACTAAAGCTGTGATTAGGGAAAACGAAAAACAAAACAAAACAAAAAATACAAAAAACCTGAATGCCAAGGAAATCAAAAGTGGATTCCTTGAAGATTTGAGAAAGATAAAGAGGCAAAAAAAATCTCTAGAAAACTCAGGAGTTAGACAGGAAACAGAGGTTACAAGAAGTATGTGTAAATTTGCTACTGTATTGGTAATTCTCAAAGAGATGTATGTGTCTCTCTACACCAAATTTAAAAAGTTCTTAAAATCGGTTCAAGATGAAGGACGCCTCTTCAGATTGTTTACAGAGGAAATAAATTCAGAAACGCATCAGGGAACTAATAAGTTTCAAACAAAAGGACTCTATGTTGAATTTTCAAAAATATTTTTCATGCAGGGTAGTGGTGGTGGACACCTTTAATCCCAGCACTCGGGAGGCAGAGGCAGGTAGATCTCTGTGAATCTGAGGTTTGCCTGGTCTACAGAGTGAGTTCCAGGACAATCAAGGCTACACAGAGAAACCCTGTCTCCAAAATCAACAACAACAAAAAATATATATTTTTCACGAGGAGGCGTCCCAGGCTGACTGCTGAGTGGAAGCCGTAGGAGGCCTGGACGAAGTCAGGAATCCAGAGGATAAAGTCTTAAAAGCCACCCAGAGGACACTATATTACAGAGAAAACAGAATTCTGGAAATGCAAGGATGGTTCAATCACAAAACAAATAATACAAGACATGAACAAATTAAATGACGATCCACAGGTACCCATTTCCTTAATTTTGAAAACTGACATGACAAAATTCAACTGCATTTTATGAGATAGGACCATGAACACAGTTTCTTATACATAAATTATATGTATATTTACATATATATATATATGTATATATACACCAGTAAATAATCATAGAGATATTTCCCTACAAGAAGGATGAAATTAAAGTGTAGATTCGCTTAATACTGTTGTGGGGATAATTAAGACACAAGGGCAATACAGAGGGAGCTCACCGAGAGGGGACACATCATCCATCCATATCCAGGTGACAGAAGTCTGAATAACACGGAATGAACAATTCTCTAACCCAGGAGTGGTTCCATGCACCAGTGCCAGCCCACACTGAATAAACCTAACAAGAAGGCCCAGCAAATCCTGGCAAACAGGCTTCCCAAGGCACACGCACGCACGTGCACATGTCCTGCCGACAGCCAGGGGAGATTTTATTGGATGTGAGCCATGCTGTGTTCTGGAAGGGAGATTTACCCCTCCCCCCATTTCTCTTCTTTCCCCCTTGGCTTTCAAAGTTTGCTTTGGGTGGCACACAGAGTAATGGACGCGTCATAACATTTTCACACATGTTTTTCAGTGTGGTTGAACCCCTGCCAGCCCTCATCTTCCCTTGTTCCCCCGTGGTAATCCCTGCACCCCCAAACATATTTTCTGTCAGTTCCGGGGAGCAAACCTTGGGGCCTCATGCCTGCTTTGTAAGTGTTCCACCATTGAGTTTTCTGCCTCTGCCCTGGAAGCGATTATTTTCTGGGGATGGTAATTCCCTAAATCCAATAAAATACCCAGAAGACGTTAAACTGAACAAACCAGTTGATGTAAATAATAGAAGGCGCGGTAGCGGTAGAAAAGAACGGCTTCATGCAAACCCAGACGATTTAGTTAAGCACAGATGAGGCCGCGGCAGGGCTGGGCAATCAGAAGCTCACAAAGCTTGGCCCTGGGGCATAGCTGTCACAGTCTCCAGCACCTGGCAGAACTCTGGTTCTCCAGGTTACCTGACTTGGTAAACTTTACAAAACTACATTTACCTCCCTCTTGAGCCTTTGCAGTAAACTTCAGGAGTCAGAGTACACGAGTCTACCAGGCAAGATACAAAATTCCGTACGGCGGTGTGTGCCTGCGATCCCGCACAGGGGAGGCTAGATATGGAATTGCATATGGTAGAGTGTGTTGTTAGTTATGGAATAAGGACCGGTGGGATGGACGGAGCAGAACAAGCCATGGAGAGCATATTAATCATAGTTTGTTATAGCGAGACTGAAAGGGGGGAGAAAGACATGAGAGAGAGAGAGAGAGAGAGAGAGAGAGAGAGGAAGATGAGAGAGAAGAGAGGATGAGATGAGGGGGAGCAGAAGCGGGCGGGGGTCTGTCCTTTAAAGGGGTCCTTTGCATGTGCATGCAGACTGGTTCTCATGGAACCCTGGGCTGGCCAGAGTGCTGCCTGAGTGCATCCTGCTAGGTGACAGGCCAGGCCAGCGTAATGCCTGAACCTTTCAGAGTGTGATGGTGCGTGCCTGCGACCCTGATGTGGGAGGTCCTGTGATTATGTCAATAAAGCACTGTTGAGCCAACAGGGAACCAAGATAGGAGGGACTAGGAGTCCAGAAGGACTCTGGGAAGGAGAAAGACAGGGAGTCAAGATGTAACGCCATGGGGTAGGAAGCCGGGAACTATTCTCTGGTAAGAGAAATACTTAGATTAACAACTATGGGGTAATTACTTAAGTCAGAGCTAGCCAGTAAGAAACAAGCAAGGCCAACAGCTTCATAATTAATACAGCCTCCTGTGTGTTTATTTGGGACTGATGCGGCTCTAGAACCAGGCTGGCGGGAAGGCTTCTCTCAAGGAAAAAGTTTCCCTTTACACAACCCCACACAGGGGAGTCTGAGGCAGGTGGATCTTGAGGGCCGCATAGTGAGACTCTGTCTCAGAACAGTTTATCTCACCAGTAACCCAGAGATTACCCAAGCTTAAGCCCAACGCTGGAAAGAAAATACCAGGTGTAAAGAGAAGCCTTCCTGCCAGCCTGGTTCCAGAGCCGCTTCAGTCCCCAATGAACACACAGGAGGCTATATTAATTATGAAGCTGTTTTAGATGTTGAATCACTTGGGCCACTGCTTCTGGGGGTCGTGGTTCATCAAACCACAGAAGCCTGGAAGGAATCCTCAGATTTTCATTTTCTGTAGAAACATAAACAAAATCTCTTTTCCCAAGTAACATATCCTTATACTTAAAATTTGAAGTCAAGGCATTTTTAAAAGATATAAGTTGAATTAATTCAGCAGCATTTATAATCAAGCATACTTTAGCAGTTGTTCCTTCCTGAGCAATTAAAAAACTGAAAAACACAATAGCATACAGTATCCAGACTCTCTGTGTATTTTCCATCTTTACGTGGCTTATTTATTTATCTATTATTAACC